AGGCACAATTACATTTAATTACTTGCCATCTAATTACGTTCATTAAAAGCTAATAAAATAAATGAGTGAAGCAGCTTTAAAATCTCTGCTACGCTCTTTGGTGTGAAATATAGCGGTGGGATTTCTGGCGTGATGTGACGGAGAGGAGACTTTACCAGTTATGAAGCAGACGTTTCATTTGTAGGAGAAAAGGAGCATGTTCACGAGACGCACTGCTGAATAATACACCACACTGCCAAAAAGATCCTTCTTGGTTTATTCTAGCATTTTCTAGACAAGTAAAAAATATAGTCTTGTATTCAGAAATGATGAATCAAAATGAAGTGAGTTTTCCCTAAATCAAGCAAAATAATCTGACAATGAGGAAAGCTGAATAATCTTGTTTTGGCATTGAAATAACATTATTCTGCTTACTCCATTGTCAGATTACTCTGTTTGTTTTAAGGAAAAACTTTTATATATTTCTAAAAACAAGACTATACTTTTTACTTAAAAATCTGTAATTTAACAGTTTATTTCCAGCAGCTGACTGTAAAATAACGAATATTAAATCACAGAAATTGAACTTAAAATAACGGATATTAAATCACAGAAATTGACTGTAAAATAACGGAAATTAAATTACAGAAATTTATTGTAAAATAACGGATATTAAATTACAGAAATTTATTGTAAAATAACGAATATTAAATTACAGAAATGTATTGTAAAATAACAGATATTAAATTACAGAAATTTATTGTAAAATAACGGAAATTAAATTACAGAAATTTATTGTAAAATAACGGATATTAAATTACAGAAATTTATTGTAAAATAACGGATATTAAATCACAGAAATGTATTGTAAAATAACAGATATTAAATTACAGAAATTTATTGTAAAATAACGAATATTAAATTACAGAAATTTATTGTAAAATAACGGATATTAAATTACAGAAATTTATTGTAAAATAACGGATATTAAATTACAGAAATTTATTGTAAAATAACGAATATTAAATTACAGAAATTTACTGTAAAATAACGAATATTAAATTACAGAATTTTACTGTAAAATAACGAATATTAAATTACAGAAATTTACTGTAAAATAACGGATATTAAATTACAGAAATTTATTGTAAAATAACGGATATTAAATTACAGAAATTTATTGTAAAATAACGGATATTAAATTACAGAAATTTACTGTAACATAACAGACATTAAATTACAGAATTTTACTGTAAAATAACGAATATTAAATTACAGAAATTTACTGTAAAATAACGAATATTAAATTACAGAAATTTATTGTAAAATAACGGATATTAAATTACAGAAATTTATTGTAAAATAACGGATATTAAATTACAGAAATTTATTGTAAAATAACGGATATTAAATTACAGAAATTTATTGTAAAATAACGGATATTAAATCACAGAAATTGACTGTAAAATAACGGATATTAAATTACAGAAATTTATTGTAAAATAACGAATATTAAATTACAGAATTTTACTGTAAAATAACGGATATTAAATTACAGAATTTTACTGTAAAATAACGGATATTAAATTACAGAAATTTATTGTAAAATAACGAATATTAAATTACAGAATTTTACTGTAAAATAACGGATATTAAATTACAGAAATTTATTGTAAAATAACGAATATTAAATTACAGAATTTTACTGTAAAATAACGGATATTAAATTACAGAAATTTACTGTAAAATAACGGATATTAAATTACAGAAATTTATTGTAAAATAACGAATATTAAATTACAGAATTTTACTGTAAAATAACGGATATTAAATTACAGAAATTTACTGTAAAATAATGGATTTTAAATTACAGAAATTGATTGTAAAATAACAAATATTAAAGTACAGAAATGTAAAAATACAGATTTTTTTTACAGTTTATGTACACACACACACACACGCACGCACGCACGCACACACACACGCGCACACACACACACACACACACACACACACCCTCTGATCTGCTTTTACATCCATTGCTCTGATTGTATCGCTGCTATACACTGATCCAGTGATTCTAGCACGCACACACACACACACACAGATTCCTCCGAGGTGAAGGCCGGCAGTGACTGACCTCCAATCAGACTCTCAGATGTCTATCAGAGCCCGCAGGAAACCCACCATCAGACATCCATTCACAGAACAAAGGTCACACACTCGTATCACACACACACGCTGTGGCTCCTTACACACACTGGATTACAGCAGAGACGTTTAGTCCCGACTGTTATCACACTCTTACAGCACAGCACGACCACAGGAGCCATCTCTACACACATACACACACACACACATACACACGCACGCACGCACACGCATCATATATTTAGTGTATTGCCTTATTGTTTAAACAGACGTGTACAAAATTGTTTATATTTAATATAATATATTATATTTTATGTTACCCACCCCTTCCATAAACCCAACCCACAGTGTTTTTAAAGGCACTGATTGACCCGCCCACCCCCTTCCCTAAACCCAACCGACAGTGTTTTCAAAAGCACCGATAGACCCGCCCACCTCCTTCCCTAAACCCAACCCACAGTGTTTTTAAAGGCACTGATTGACCCGCCCACCTCCTTCCCTAAACCCAACCGACAGTGTTTTCAAAAGCAATGCAGAGAAAGAAAAGTCCTCGCCTGATTTTGACCACATTTTCAGATTTTACCACATTCTCACCCTGTTATTTGCTTGTTTATTTATTATTTTGGCCTTTGTTTTTGTCTTACCTGCTTTCTGGAACCGTTCTTCACTGGACTTGAACCCTTTCATCACAGTCAACTCCTCTCTGCATGTCAAGTCTGCCAAACTACGCGGCGAGCCACTGGGCAAACTGGTAACAGTGGAAAAGCCGATCACATGGAGGCAAAATTGTGTATCTTCATCATATATTGAACATCAGCATATCTTTCTAATGGAAATTTTGGAGTAAAAGGATCTTATAAACATAAGGAACATTATTTTTAAGAGCACAGAGCTGGCTTTCATTTGCCGAAATGCAATTTACCAGTCTGAGGTGAAACTATAGTGAGGTTTATTTGAACACGCTGCTTTATGTGAGCAGAATTACAGACTTATATTGTGAATAATAGTGAATCAGCACGCCGTCAGAATGCAATGGATCAAACTTACATAAAGAGTGTCCAGTTGTGCCTCCAGACAGATTCTGAGGGCTGAAAGGAGAAAAAGAAACTAGAATTAAAATGCATTAACACAGTGAGAGGTTTAACAGAGCTCTGAAACACATTCACTGACCACTGCGGCACATTTATGATGTGAAACAAACACAAATCTGACTGACAGGTGTTAAGCATGCGTCAGGAAATGTTCAACCAAATTAAACCTTTATATCTTCATATTATATTCATATTTCTATATTGCCAACGGTCACTTTGATTATCAGACTGTTTGTATCAAATGCTGAACGTGTCAGTTTCTTAGTATAATGATATTATGATAATTATGTAAATTAAGCTTCCATTTATTAATTTTTTAAAGATGAATAATGATATATATATATATATATATATATATATACTTAATAGCAATGCAGTTACTACTCATTTTTAGGGTAATACTGTATTATTGTTATTTAATTGACCTGAGCTGAAAAAACTAGCAATAATATACATGTACTAACTAATAATGTATGACTAACCTTAAATAACTGGAAAAAACATTTCATGTTAATGCATTTATACTCATATCTAAGGTTAAACTGAATGTTAATGTTATTTAATTGGTCTGAGCTGACAAAAACTAATAATAATATTCATGTACTAATTAATACAAAATCACGAATGTAAAATAACTTAAATTTTCTTAATGCTACTGCATTTATTACTTGGATTTAAGGATATACTGTATGGTAATGTCATTTAACTGAGCTGAGATAGAAAAAAACTAGCAATAATCTACATGAACTAACTAATAAAGTATCACTAACGTTTCAAAATTGAAAAAACACTTTATGTTAATGCATTTATTACTCATATTTAAGGTCATTTCAGTATTGTTTTCACTAGTAGAATACATTATTTTAATAATTTGTATATAGGTTGTATATGTTATGTTATTTGTTGTCTCTGTCACGGACATAAGCTAACAAAAACTAGCACTAATCTACATGTACTAACTAATAAAGGATTACTAATGTTAAATACTTAATGTTACTGCATTTATTACTCATATTTAAGGTTATACTGTATATTAATGTTTTTTAACTAACAAAAACTAGCAATAATCTACATCTACTAATCAATAAGTATAACTAACATTAAATAATTGAAAGGTACTTAATGATACTGCATTTATTACTCATATTTAAGGTGATTTCAGCATTGTGTTCACTAATAGAATACATTATAATAATAATTTGTGTATAAGTGGTATATGTTATGTTGTATCTTGTATCTGTTACAGACCTAAGCTAATGGAAACTAGCAATACACATTAATAAACATCATTTTTATTAACTAATGTTAACATGCAAAGCTGTTAAGATGTTTTCATCTCATTGTAAATGTGACGTCAGGCTACAAGTAACGCTTATGTAACGCTTACATTAATGTAACGTTAGTTTATTATTATTGTGTGACGTCAGTCTTAAACTGACGCTACTAATACGCGCTCATGAACGGCTGTAGCGTAATTATACTTACAACAATGAAGCGATATGATTAAACTAAACTATCTGATTGTAAACTGAAAGTGAAAGACATCATTTGTTAAGTTATTCCCCGTTACGAGTGACTTATTCTTCATAGCGCGTTATAATAAGCCCATCATTGAAGTATTTCTCCTCAGCATCACACAGGAGGCTCACCATCGCAGTCCTCCAATCGCCGTCCGCTATACTCAATGACAACAGTCACCGTGGGCAATCAGGAGCGTGTTTACATTGATCTGCCGTTTGAACGCGTTCGCGGGAGTTGACTAGGAAGTGACGCTGTTCGGTCGCGTGTGCTGCAGAACTGGAGCTTGTACAGTGTTATTGGTGCTGTTTGTGTTGCAGAGTTGTGAAATATGGATGCAGTGTCAGGCGGCAGCGCCACAGGAACAGGTAAAGTACTAATATACAGTACTGCTGCACTGCGTGTGTGTTATGATCTGTCAGTGTGTGGTTGTGTGTGTTTGTGTGTGTGTGTGAAAGTGTGTGTGTATGTTATGATCTGTCAGTGTGTATGTGTGTTGGTATTATGCTCTCTGTGTGTTATGATTTGTATGTGTGTCTATTTGTGTGTTATAGTGTGTGTGTTTACGTTTCTCTCTTTTGTGTTTGTTTGACAATCTCTATGTGTGTATGTGTGTGTGTGTGTGTGTGTGTGTGTGTGTGTGTGTGTGTGTGTGTGTGTTTGTTATGAGCT